TCCAGGCTGGGTGACGGGAGCGCTCTGCACCTCCCTGAGCCCAACAGGGAATGAGAAGGTGAAGACATGTTCATGGAGGTTTCCAATCCCTTTTTCCAGGACTTCTCTGTGTCCCAGGATGATTAAAAAGAAGACAGTTCTATGTTTTTAAGAGGAAGTGAGTAGGAGCTTCCCTGGCGGAGCAGTCACAGGTTGGTGTGTCCTGGGAACACGTGGGGTGAGAGGCCAGGGCTGCCTCCCATCCCCCAGCCTCGCCCTCCCCTGTTGACCTTGGCCTGGAGTCATGCAGCTGGCTCAGTCCTCATGTGGACATTGGCCAGGAACCTCACCTTCAGCCCCGACCCTCCCTGCTGCCCTTTCCCCACCAGCTCTGCCAGCTGACCCATGCCTTGCTCCCCACTTTCTCCCAACTTCCCTGAAGGTGAGGGTTCACCCCCATTTCACAATCGATACCAGTGGGGCCCTGCTCTGGACTCTAGAGGAGGGGCCTGGGTCAGAGGGTCAGAGGATCCTGGGAAGGATGTGTGTTGAGCAGGAGAGGCAGGGCTCTGTGCCCTCAGGCACGCGGGTGGCCAGGGCTCTGACGAGAAGCAGAAGCACCTGGCATCCCCTGGCAGCTGCACTGCGCAGGGTGATGTCGGGAAGAAGAGGGAATATCGTGTGGCAGGCAGGTGGCCGCAACATTCTATCCCACGTGCCCTAGAACCCATCACGGTGTTGGAATTCTCCCTTCTTGACTGCATTCCGAAATGTGTGCTGGGGACACCAGCTATCACTTGGCAGCCTTGCCCTGGGGCCACCATGCTGTAAGGAAGCCCCAGCAAGCCTTGCCGAGAGACCACAAGGACCAAGGCCCCCAGCTGCTGCCCCCTGACTCATTAGCCACCGTCCGTCTGACTGCAGCCAAATGAAATACTCTAAACCAGAACCAGACAGCTGGGCCCTCACGGATTTCTGGCCTACAGCAATGAAAAATAGCACCAACTGTGATAATGGTGTGGCAGCAGCGTCGGACAGAGACCTTATCTGATGTCATAAGCAGGGAGGAGAGTCAGCATCCCAAGACTGACAGACTGCCATTCTCCGACTTTTCTACCCGGTTGACCCCACCCACCCTTCCCTAGTACTCTGCTCTACTATTGGGCTCAGTAATTCACGTGAAATGCAGATATGACTCAGGTGGGGTAGTAACGGGTTACAGTTCAAGACTGGGAACTGTGGATGCAGTTATTGGATCCACTAAACCTTACCTGCGGGCGGGCCTCTCCCGCGTTCCCTCCCTCCCTCTCCTCTCTCCCTTTTGGCCCTGGCCCTACAAGTGTTACAGAGCTCTTTAGCTCCACCAATACTTGCCCAGAGGAAA